AGGAAAACGCATACACGCGTTCGGGATCTGAATAACTATCTTTATCGAATATTTTGACCGAGACTCGAGTGCCATTCCATTTAGCAACTTGATAAGATCCCTGCAAATTAAGTTACAGAAAAAAGAACATCAAAATAAGAGATCTATGAGAAAGAATCTAAGCTCTTAAGAGAATCAAAGAAAGAACATGCCTTTGAGATGCCATCAACTTTTCGGACTTGAAGCTCGAGTGGATTAAGCTCATACTCAGGAACTTCTTTCGGATTCCCTACCGTCATTGGAGTCTTTCTTGTTTTCTAAAGTTCAACACAAACAAAATGTTAAAAGATGAAACAAAACACCAGAGAAAGAGAGAGACCAATCTTCTCAAGAACATAAAAAGATAAATCTTTATGTTAGATACCATACCGGAGCTTTAGCTCCTCGAGCTTTCAAGAGATTATAAACTTCAACATTCCCATAATACTTCGCATCAACAGCAGCCTGCACAGTTGAATCAAGTTTAACCGAGACAAAACCGATCCGAAAACACAACCAAAGATGAAATGAACCAGTTTGTTTCATGTTTTCCATATCCGAACAAGAATTAAGTCAGAAACAAAATCAAACCTACATCAACTCAATCTTGCAATGAAACCAAATCCGAAACAGAAACGATACAGAATTAAACCGAACCAAATGATATTGGCTCTCTACATTTCGAAAACCATAAAAACCGAACAAGATTGGACAATTTTTGAGTCTTTAGCAACCGAATTGAGGAAATTTCAGGGGAAGAACAGAGTACAGACCGTACTACCCCAACGATCACGAGCATCAATGTTAGCTCTCCTGCTAAGAAGAACCTTAACAACTTCATAATGACCTTCACACGATGCAATGTGAAGAGCCGTACGACCATCAAGATCAATACTATTCACATCAATTCCTTCGTTAAGCAGCTCCTCGACGCCATTAACATCACCTTTACTCGCCATAAAAAGAAGCTGCATCGTCGAATCGAGATTCTCAGGCACAGTCATATGCGGCTCGCAGCTAAGCGATTCAGGGCTTCTTCTAATCGGATCGAGCGAAGATTGACGACCGAAACTGAATCTCATGTTGTTACGACGAGGGTCAAGAGATGATTGTCGTGTGAATTGTCTGCTTAGTGTTCTTCTCATTGATCCTGTCGAGAATTGTCTCGAAATCCCACGCTTTAATTGCGCAGCTACGTTCTCCATGATGAATCTTCTTCAAAACCCAGATCGATTAAGGATCAAAAACGAAAACTTTTGCATCAAATCGGATCGAAGAAGACGAAAAATGGATAAAAGATTGAAAATTGAAAGAAGAGGAACGATCGTGGTGCATATTTTTTTTTTTGCTTTTTTTAATTGTTCTTCGTTTTATGAGATTATCAAGAGTTTAATTGGCTAACAATTGTGTTTTGAAACAGTAAAACGCGGGTAATCACTTAATTTTCTCTTTTTCTATTTTTTTAATCTCTTTGATTAATTGGATCTCCATACATAATTAGATGCACTAACTAAAAAATTTAGATGATTAAAAAAAGCAATTAACTAAAAAAATTATTTTAATCAAGAATACAACCTGGAGATTGTGGATTTAGGGATTGATACCAAAATTAAGAACTTGTTCAGTGAAAAGCAAAAAAATTGTACATTTTATAAAGATGGAAAGAGTTTTATATGACATTACCAGAGACCAAATACAATTCTCGAGTACGAGATTGAACAAGTTTACTCTGAATTAAAACGCATACTCTTGAATTTCTTTCAGAAGACGACGCGGAACTGTGGCGCGTCTTTACCATCGGCTGGAATAATCTCCCAGCGACAAGGCTCGAGATCGTCGGAAACTGGACAGTATCCAGCGAGAGTGACTCTGTCTCCAGTAGCAGCCACGGAACCGAACTCGAAAACCGTCGCGCGATCGGGTCGAGGAACTTCGATTGCTCCGTTCATACCCGGAGCCGGAGTTTCCGATTTCGGCGTCTGGATTACCTCCGTCTTCGATGTTTCGGTCTGCGAAGGCTTAGGACTTCCTGTGAACCACGATAGAATCCCCATGGCTACTCGAATCGATCGGTGATTCTCTGCAGATCCAAAGGAGGTGCGTTGCGTAACCTCGGAGTCGGAGAAAACAAAATCTGAAAGAAATTAGGGTTTATCTTTTTCCCCCTTTTGATCCTACTGAAAAAATTTATGCGTAGTTTGTTACATTGGGCCTTATTAACTGGGCCTAGCTTCACTTGAGTTTCAATTGTAACCCATACACGATGAATCTTAATATTGTCACTATTGACCCGTTAGTTTTGAAAAATACTAGATTTGACCTCAAAGTTTAGAAACCAACAAAATACACTTCAAATTAAAACATCATAGATTTTAGTTTAGCACTCTTATTGTTATTGTTATCATTGCACCAAACCATAAGAATCTCTTTTACAGATTGGTCTGTAGAATCATGCATCTATAGGCATACACCGATAGATTTCATTACTCTCGAGCGACTTGGATTACTTGTTTTCCAATGTTTTGTCCATTGAAAAGTCCTACAAGAGCAGCAGGACCGTTCTCGAGTCCTTGAACGATGTCTTCCACATATATTAGCTTCCCTTCTTCTATGTACGGAAGTACAAACTCCAAGAACTTGGAGAATCTATCCATGAAGTCATAAAAAGCAAACCTTTGCATTTTTATCCTCTTGAACACAATGTCAGGTAGATTTTGTAACCTCTCTCTGGTTTCAAGAAGGTACTGAGAGATCATACCGCAAACCGCGATTCTTCCATACATTTTCATGTTTAGTAGTACTGCATCGAGCATTTTACCTCCCACGTTCTCAAAGTATATGTCAATGCCTTTTACCAAAAAAAAAAAAGTATATGTCAATGCCATTTGGGAAACGTCTACAAGTAGAATTTGAGAGGATCAGATTTTGAGTTTATAATTCAAGAAAAAAAACTTATAAGAAACCGAATTTAAAACCTCTTCAATGCGGAATCAAGGTCAGGCTCTTCCTTGTAATTGAATGCATCATCAAAACCGAGTTTGTTTAGCAAGAGATCGACCTTTATTGGAACTAAACAATGTAAGAGAAAGTTTAAGTCTTTTAAAATTGATAAGTTTCAGAACCAAAGTCTGACCTTTTCGTTTACTTCCAGCACTTCCAACAACATAGCAACCCATCAATTTAGCAAACTGACCCACGAGCTGACCAACTGCACCGGAACCTGCAGAGACAGAGACTGTTTCTCCTTTCTTAGGTGGACATATCTCAAAAAAACCGGCATAAGCAGTCAAACCTATCATACCTATTATGAATAAAAATAGAGATTTTATGAGAAATGAGTTCATACATATTATGTTCTCTTTTAGTTTATATGAATATAAACCTAATACTAACCGAGGATTCATGTGTAATTGGAGAGAGGAACATTGATACTGACATCTATTTTGAATATATCGGCTGACCAATTTTGAATACGTATTGGTAAGATATAATCTCACATGTTTTATGTAAGGCACTAGATACTGTACGAGCTCCATTATGTGATGCGACAACACTATACTATGTTTGTGGAATCAGAGAGTCTCACTAATTTTGTTTGTACCTCTGAGTGGTAAAGAGGATTCACATGGCCTACACTCATATACGGAAGGACACCCTTGTAAACAGAATTTTTATTTATGACTCAATATGTAATCTTCTTTAACTATATTCTAACTGTGAAAACGAAATAAAATGTAATAGAAACGGTTGAACTCATGATTTAGAAAATTTCGACTTCGGTCTTGCACTTGGATGAAACAGAAACTCCAAGAGTTTGCAATATCTTGCCATCATCCACCCCAACACCTTGCGCAATCTCCACTCGAACGAGTTCGACGCAGTTTCTTCCCCTAAGTAAACTCTTTAACCGTTTCAATTCCTGAGCAGTTCCTCGATAGCAAAGTATATGCAACACCTTCACTTGGTTCAGAGGAATGTCGACATCGGTTGTGTAACCATCCATCTCCTGAAGAAGCATGAATCAAGAAGATGTATGTAGATGATCAACCACTAAGTTAATGAATATATATTGTTCGTTCATAGGATTTGATTACTGAATATACCTTGATGATTAGAGTTTCAAGCTTTGGAGACTGATTAAGCTGAAGTGGCAGCAGTTTCTAACCTCGTATATTCTTACTCCCGAAAGACAAACTTACCAGATTGTTGAACTTCACTTGGTGCATAGGAATGTAGAAATCACCTGTGTAACCAATCAGATTCTGGAGAAGCATCAATCAAGAAAGATGTATGTATATGATCAACCACCAAAATGGATCGTCTTTATATTTCTATATCGGTTTTGCGTATTGAATATACCTGGATGATTAGAGTTTGAAGCTTTGGACACTGCTCAAGCAGATATGGTAGCAGTTTCCAACTTCGTTTATTCTTACTCCCACAAGATAAATTAACCAGATTGTTAAACACCGGTAGAGGTATTCCATCTCTAAGACATTGAGAAATCACCTGAAACACACAAACACATGCTTCAAGAATGTCCAAGCTCTATACAAAATTTTATAGAAAGAAAATGGCAAAACTTACATCAACAGAATTGGGAGTAAGATGCAGGGTCTCTACGTTGCGTATCCCATAAAAGAGACCCCACACATCCGGAATCCAGACATTTTTAGTACAACGAAGATCCAGCCTAGCTTCGACTAGGGACTCCAAGTTAACTGTTATGTACTCAGGCAAGGCACAATCGGAGTAGTCGAGGGACACAAGACTTGGGACGTCAAATGCCATACTACTGATGCTACCAATTTCAAACTCACAATCGTAGTGAACTGATATTCTCTTGATGGTCTGACTCGATATGCGGCATGGAAGTGCTTCATAGTCCTTGTGACGTACAACTAAATCCTCGAGCACTGGATAGCCAGGAAGAAGCACATAACACAGATCTTCATATTGAAAATGGATCGAATCGATGAAGAGACTCTTAAGCGCTAGAAGAGACACATCTGGAGGAAGCTTTTCAAGAGTAAATCTTGTTCCCAGTGTCAGCTTAACCAGCGTCTTGCTTGTGAAGAACTCACGAGACAGAGAGACTTCACGGTGTGTCTTTATATTTGCGAGCAGTTCCCCAGGCTCAAAGTGAGGCTTTATACTAATGTCCATCTCTGTTATACCATGCTCGACGGCATTACGTATCCAGGGGGCCACATAAGCCATCTCCCTGTCCTCGTGAATGTGACATTTTAGAGAGAATTTCTCAATACGAGAATCGCATTGCAAAGTGAGTGTTCTGTTTACAAAATCCCTGAAGCCCTCCCGGATCATATACCTCTCTCGTTTACCCTCTTCCGGTTGCAGGAAGAGAGAATCATCAAAATCGAGATTATGCACCAATGCAAACACATTTCTCTACCTCTTCGAGAGAAGCGATGTTGAAGCAGCCAGCTTTATCGGAACGAAGGACAAGATGTCACCGAGAATCTCGTCAGGGAGGCGGCTGATGGCGTCTCTCGAGCCAGTGTCCAACTTTTTGGTATCCATACAGACATAACCAATCTCTTCTTCCTTAAAAGTGCCTGAAACATGAAGTAAACTCAGAGTAATTCAACTGCTGGATTAACCCAAAAAAGAACCACAGAGAGAGAGAACAAAGAACAGAGAAGTTCCATAAACCATAAGATCCAAAGATTTGAGCACGCGATAAATAAAAGCTAACTTAACGAAATTACTTTCCAAGAAATTACAAAGAAGCTAAAGGTTCAAGCTTTTTCCCCGTTATGAATTATATTAATGGAAGATTCGAGCTCGAACCAAGTGAGAAGCGTGTAGAAAACTAGAGATTAAACTACTTTAAAGCTAACAACAATTGAGCATATATAAAATTGAGGCAAAACCGAACCGTGACGGTGGAGCACGATGGAGGACGCTGGAGAGAGTGAGACGGAGATTGTCGTCTGAGTAAAGTAAATTGAAATAGGGTTTTTCCCTTTTTTTTTTTATCAATTCTTGAGTTTAATCTAGCCAATCAACTGGTTTACTCAAATTTCCGGTTCAATTATCTTTCTCTCACGTGTAATGCTCTGAATTATCTTTCTTGGTGTAATGCTTTTACTATTACGGAAAAATCAATCAAACAATTATCTTCTTCTTAAATCTCTGTCCATCATCATCATCCTCCTCACAAAATGGAAACAGAGAGAATATAGTGACAATAATATAAAGGCATGATTATGGGTGGTAAATAAGGGTAAATATAAGAGATTTTTAATATTATAAAATTCTTATATTTATCTAAACTATTTTTGGATTTTTAAATATAGAATCTATATTACCCATATTTAGTGAGTAAATATAATA